TAAAAAAGAGTGAGTTTCACTAATTTTTTTCTCTTTTTTTTCTTTTGAATGAGACCCACTCACTTTTATACGAGGGTGATAACAAAAATTTGTTTGTAGCAAAAGCTAAAACATTAAACCTTTTAAACATAACTTTGTATCATTTTAAGTAAAATAAGTATGTTTTTTTGGTAAAAATTTTTTTATCAAATACTTTGTGCCTCATAATACTCTCTTTTTGTCTTTCTTTCTAATTTTGTGAAGGAGAAAAAAATATAAAAAATCATCAAATATATATTAAAAATATGGTAATGTAATATAAACAACCCGGTTTTCAAGCTCAAGGTTTCATGTCTTTTTAGAAGTGTCAACCTAGTTTGTATTAAACAAACCAGATCAGACCAATTCCTATCCCTAATCGTGAGTTGTCACTTTATATATTGTCCATGACTCCATGCTTCATTACATGCGTGGCTAGTGCAAAGCTCTCATTGAGGTATGATCTGATCTCTAATGTGGTGTATGAGGGACCCGGTGAACTATTGCGGGAGGTGAAATAAATTATTGTATATTCTTAAAGCATCAAATAAGATTGTATTAACATCATTCATATTTTGACATATTAGCTTAAAATTGAATAGTAGTTAACTCACCAATATCTTAGTTTGTTATGACAAAATATGAATAAAGTGACTGTAATTTCATACGACTGTTTGAAAAATATCCAATAATTTATTGGGTAGTAGTTAAACAATACGGTTTCAAGCTGTCAGTGAAGCCAAGTTTGTGGTGTGGGATGTGGAAGTTGGGCCTTGGATTTCATTATTAGTCGGCGTGGGCATTCTTTCATAGTTACTTATATGGGAAAAAAAAATCATATATTGTTAGAAATGAGTTATTTCATGTTAGTAAAATAAAATTATAACAGAGACTTACAAATGATTGAAGAAAAAATAAATAGAGGTGTGACCCACCTTTATTATGTACATGTAGAAAAATGAATTATCTCATGTTGAATGAAATAAATATAACTCTACTTATATTTGTCGTGGTATGTTTTTGTTATTGTGGGTTATGAAAATAAACACATCACAACATACATACTATCTCCCACCCCCCTTTTTTAACAAGTAAGGTGTAACAAAATAATATGAAAAGAACATTGATGTGAATAATCCTCTCTTTTAAATAGATTCTATTGTATGAGAATTTAGAGATTAGTAGTCCCAATGTAAAAGCATCAAAAACAAAGTTGCATGAGCTTTCTTGTTGGACATCTAAGCTAACACCATTGGCATATAATTACTGTTTTTTCTTTTTTCCTTTTTCTTTTTTGGGTAATAGTACGCTTTAGAACATGTTGTCCATCGTTGGCATTAGTTGCTTTATACTTCAATGCAAATCATAAAAAATACAAGCTACAAGAATATTTTCTTGTTGCTTCCATTATAAACAAAGCAAAGGCTTTATGCTTAAAACACATGAATGCATCATCATTTCTTTCTCGCTTTCATTTTTGGACTTATCTTCTGAAAGCAAGAAATAGGTGTTATATTATTGTGATGGATATATAATACTTGTCATTGGTCGACCCTTAATAAATATCTAACCCTTTGGTACCTTTAACAAGCAGGATTTGAAAGATGAAACCTTCTCATTGGCAATGACTCAGTTGTGCGGCTCATCCAACATTAACATAATCATTGCAAGAATCTTGTGTATCAAATATATCCTATGTATTGTAAGGTCAAGATTGATTAGACGGTTATAACACTCACGAAGCCATGTTTTGCTTTAGGTTTAGAAAGCACAATTTGAGTAATAGGGTTGAATTCAATCAAGGAAGGGCCCTGCCATGTTTAGCCATTTGCCCATTTGAGTTATCTGTAGTCCTCTCCTTCTGGATGTGGCACATGCTTAAAATTTGATATATATTTTTTTATGAGATCCTAATTATTTCTTTGGGGTTCCTTTTGAGGTTTATCTAACATAGGGTATTTTTACAAGTTTCGATTTTTTGAGTCGATCTCGAGTCTGACTTAGTCATAATTAAAGATCATTGTCTCTCTCAAAAAATATTTGATAAGAATCGAATCTAAGTTCTTTTCTCGTCTACTCAGATTGTATTGCTAACTGAATCATTTCCATTGGATAAATTTAATACTTCTTTAAATTGATAAACATGAACATTATTCAATTTTTTTTGGATAAGCCACGTATATTTTTTAAAGGAGGCAATTCTGTTTAGGGCGGGTCCAAGATTAAGGCTTTAAATCTCTTACAAAGATAGTACTGGAAAATATCAAACTCATGCTCTTATCTCATCTGCCTAGTTCTCATACACCAACTGAGCTACCATTATTTGATAATCATACTATATTTTTATTTTTGGTAAGATCCGTATTCATTTTTTATTACTCTAAGTTTGTATTTATCCCCAGCAGCGTGCAGACAATGCATACTTTCAACGATATTTTGGGATTCCACTGTGTTGGGATCTAACATCAAGCAAGTGACATTATATATTTTGTGAATTAATATTAATAATACATTTGCACTGTTTCACAACTCTTTATAAAAAATAATTGTAAACAATTTAATCATTGATTATAGCTATTAATATATATGTCTTTCATATTAAATTTTAAAAAACTTAAACAGTCGAAAACATGTTATCATTCTGTTAAATATTTCCGTTAATATAAAAATATTTTTCGTTAATCTTAATAAAAATGTATAATTGAAAATAACATTAAATTTTGGATTCACTTTTTGTCATGTCATATGATAAGACTATTTTTCTGCACACACAAATCAAGTGTGGGTCCCACGCTTAAAAAAAAAAAGTCAAACTAAAATCAGGATATGACGCCGTATCCTCAAGATACGTTGCCGGATCCTTATTACATGAATGAACAGTGTCATTCCTGCAACATGATTCTTATATTTCCCTTAAATTTTATGTGAGATTTTATATTCACGATGTATTGTAGACACTAATGACTTATTTTCAACATTAGTTCATTTAACTTTAGGAGCCAAGATAAGGCAAATTAACTTATTTAATACTCATTGAGATGCGTAACAAGACAATTATGAAGATTGACTTGGACAGTAGACACATGCTTAGTTCCCACGAGTTCGCAAAATGGACTCGACTCGGCAGGTTAATCTGTTTCACCTGTTAAGAGCATATTAGGTATATAATATATGATAAGGTCTGATAGTATAAGAAATAATAATATAAGATATAATTGTATAAGACCTGATTAAATTTTAATATTATCCGGTATTTGACATGATATTATATAAAATAATATATTGTATAAGATAATATCATCCAATATTTGAAAATATACTATATAATACTAGATAGGTTAAAAATAAATATTTTTGTCAAAAATATCTTTTAATAATGAATTTACATAATTCTTCTAAATATATCAGATGATATTACTTTTTTTATAGAAATATATTGGTCTGTGTGTCCAAAAAATATATTAATTTTTATAAAAATAAAAATCTCCAATATTTTAAAAAATTATATGTTGAAAATTTATTTTTTATTTTAATATACTAAAATTAAAATAATATATTAATTCTTGAAAATTGCATTGGTTAATACATCAATCTCTTATCAGGCCTAATCCTACCCTCCTAGGCCTGAATAAGTTATACATTATTTTGATGTATAAAGAGATCCTGCTGTATAAGCTTATACTATATGATGGTCACACCAAACAATTAAAAATATCATAACGTATAATATAAGCTTATACTATCAAGCCTTATACATCACACCAAACAGACCCTAAATAGGGTGAAATGAGATGCGTTTTTTAACCCATCCCAAAAGCGGGGTGGGACGAGCTCATTTTGTGGTGGGTTGATGGCGGACATAGAAGGACCGAGACAGGTCAGTATAAAATAGGTTCAGACTGACGGACCAACCCGCCAAACAAGATATGTCGAGCCAAATTTTTGAGCCAACTTTCAAAAAATAGGATAGGACAGACAGACTCATTTTTTAATGGATTGATGACAGAAGCTGGGCGAGAGGCGGCGGAACAGTGACCATTTTGTCACTATTCATCATACTATTTACCAGAATGACATGCGCATAGTAAAAATTCACAGAATGCCATGCAAGATAATTCGCTACACTATGTAGCGAATTATGCCTACTGATGTGTCACCTCCCCAGTCGTCCACGTATTTCGCTACACAGTGAAATGAAAGTATTTATAGAACTTAATTCGCTATGGGGGTAGCAAATTACTGCACATAATTCGCTATGGCCCCTAGTGAATTACAGGGGAGATGACACTTGGCTTTGATGAGTTATATACGTTTATATTTTGCTATGAGTCATAGCAAATATAGCCACATAATTCGCTACATAGTACAACGAATTACTTGGGGCTGTGACACGTGGCCTGACTTTGAGTGGACATTAACTGAACCATCTGACACATAATTCGCTACACAGAGTAACAAATTATATATCCAACAGGAATGTGACACGTGTCTATCATGGTGACTGTGCAGACAGACAATTTGACCACGTATTTCGCTACATTGTGTAGCGAAATACGTGGACCACTGGGGAAGTGACACATCAGCAAGCATAATTCGCTATATTGTGTAGCGAATTAGCCTGCGTGACATTCTAGAAAAATTTTTAGTATGTGACATTCTGATAAATAATATGATGAACAATGACAAAATGATCAGTGTTCGCGAGGCGCCCTCTTTACCACATCTAGTTGCCGCTCCAAGTTGCAATAAAACATCGAGGTTGAGTAGGTCCCATGAAAACAGGAGCGTGACGAGCGCGTGGAGGTTAAGGAGCGTAACATTAATGGCGCCTTGGTTTCAAACGTTCCCTGTCACCAAGAAAAAAAAAAAACAGTGACAGGAATAGAAGAAGAAGAGAGAGAGAGAGCTCAGCCACCTGATTCTATTCCATCAATGCCAACTATCCAAGCTTGACCCTTGTCCTCCATTCTCAAAACTAGTATTTGCTACTCTTCAGTTCAGAGTTTTACACATTACACATTACACCACAGGAACATTACTCCGGTAACTGCTTTCTGGTAGCTGTGTTCTTCAGCTATTTCCATTTCTCATTTGTTCCTCCTTTTCCTTGTTCCATATATTTGCATACAAGATTGAAGTTTGTTTTATTTTATTTTTTCTTTGGGGGTATAGTTTATAATAGAGTTCTGACTCAAGTTCCTGTGGGTGTTAGAACATTATGGCTTGTTGGTGGTTGGTTCATTAATTTCTTTTTCTTTTTCTTATCCTCGTGGTATTTTTTCTCTCTCCATTTTTAATCCAAAAGGACGACCTATCATTTTCTGCCTAGTGTGTGTTTTGAAGAAGGAAAATGATGACTCATGCACATGCTTCTTATGTAAAGCCCTGGATACTTCCCTCTGATTTTTGGGTATATGTTAAAGACACAAGTTTTGTGTTTATTTTTATTTTATTTTTCTGCTTGTTTTCTGTTTAACAACACTTGGTAAGTTGTTAGTACTTTCACTTTGCAACACAACATTTTGATTTAAAAAGAGCTTGTTTTTACTGACCTATTCTGCTAGTGCTAGTGCCCCCTCTGTTTTTTGTTTAGTTTACTATTCTTTAGGATCGGTGATTTGGTCTCAGACTGCATATAGATCTGTGGTTGTCTCGTCTGCGTTCATGGGATGATTAAAGTTTGTATCTTTCCTCCATTTTTCATCCTGGAGTTTCACTTAGTAGTTGTAATGAAAAATGGGGCCAGAAAATTTGCTCCTACCTTTATGGGCTTCACCTGTATTATTCCATTTTGAAAAGCTTGGAGAGGAATCTGGAAATTTCCTATTAACAGCGCGGTTTCTGGGTTTTTGTTGCTGTAAAAAACTTGGGTTTTTTTTTTTTTTTGTTTTTTGTTTTTTTGTCTTGAAAGATGAAAGAGCTGTGAAATTATTGGTTGTCTGCATAGGATACCTATCATTTGTAGTTATTAGTGTTTTTTTGACCATGTGATAGATTTAGACAATCACTTACATTTTAGTAAATATGGGCATTTTTAAGGATGCTAACCGGTTAACATTGTAGTTTGTTGCTGGTCCATGGAGGCTCAAGTGTACCATTGTACTGGAGTAAAAAGGAGGGAAGGTCTAAAAGAAATTTGGAAAAGTTAGAAGATGGTTTTCCGTTAACGATAATTTACTAATTGTTTTGGTTCAAGGTTCTATTTATTTCAATTTTTTATTGTTGTGTTTTTGAATTTGGTAGGTAGTAGTGGAGTTAGTTTACTTGGAGTTTCTTTAAAGGGATTATATGCGATTTGTTTGTTAGGTTTTTTTGTTGAATGCGGATCCGAGGTGGTCATATGCTGCAAAGTGCATACTCTTGCTTCTTCTCATAGTTATAAATCAAACTCCTTATTGTCTTTATTTCTTTCTCAGATTATTATTGCAGATAGTGTGGGTCAGGGGCTTTAAAGGAGAGGTTGTTTAGTTTACCTTTCTATCACCCCAGATATTAAAATATGCAGACACCAAAAGCAAGGTAAGATTGCCCTATTTAGCACTTTTCTAGCATTCTATTTTTTGTGTTGTCTTAAAACAAATTATTGGGTCTAAATGAGGGATGAATTGCTTTTCTTTCTTTCTTTAGGTTTTGTTGTATAATTTAAGGCTTTGTTACTTTGCAAAGAAATCTGAGAATTTAATTTAGGCCTATTTATTTAATTGCAGTTGATTACTGAACTCCTAATGAATTGTGTTACAGTAATTCTATTCAAACAAATTAAGTATAATTATTTCTGGGATCTAAATGAGGAATGAATACCACATCCTTTCTATTAGATTTGAATGTATAATTTGAGCTTGTTGCTTTCCAAAGAAATCTGAAGAACTAATTAGGGGCATTTCTGTTTTTAATTGGAGTTGTTTGGTGAACTCCTAATGAATCATATTGTGGTAAGTCTGTCCTATCCTCACTAATTATAGTTAGGATGGCTAGTAGATGATTTTATATCAATGCTATGCTTTTCTTTTTTCTTATTTTGCCCTCCATGTATCAAACATATTTTTGAAAAGATTGCCTTGTTTCTTTATGCAAGCCATAACTCTTCTTGTGATTATTCCTAAAGTTTGAAAGAGACTCTTTAAAATGAACTTCTCCTCATTTGACCACCTCACTGTGCTATCTCAAGATACTTTTTGATCTGTATTCTACATTTATTTATGCATACTGACTGGCATATGGTTGGTTGTGAGCAGAACTGGTACTTCTCCTGCAACTCCTCGCGCTGCTCGCCAATTGAAGACACCAGGCTCTGATTCTGACTCAGTTTCATCGTCTCCAAACCCAGCAAACAAGACTCCAAAAGATAAGAGTCCAAAGGTCATTGAACGCAAGTCACCAAGAAGTCCAATTTCTGAGGTATTTTAAGTTAGATCATGGCTAGAAGCCTAGAACTGAATAGCCATTGTGACTATTGGTAATCTCGTGGATGGTAGATACTAAATAAAATTATGAAAGTCCTTCGTTAATCTCTTATCTACATGTATATATAAAATCCAAAATATTTAGATTATTGCTAATTTTGTTAAGTTTATTATTTACTCTATCTACTTGCCCTTTGTCATGTGGCTCTAGAAGAAGCGACCAAGTAAGGTCCAGGAATTGGTGTCTCAACTTTCTCAACTTGAAGAAGATCTAAAGAGAGCTAAGGAACAACTTAACTCATCTGAGTCATGGAAGAGAAAAGCTCAGCAGGAAGCTGAAGAGGCAAAGAAGCACCTTTTAGCCATGTCAAAAGAGCTGGAGGAATCCCAGCAACAGCTTCTGGAACTATCTGCTTCTGAAGAAGAACGGCTTCAAGAGCTCAGAAAAATTTCTCAGGATCGAGATCGAGCATGGCAATCTGAACTAGAGGCTATTCAGAAGCAGCACTCAATGGATTCAACTGCTTTGTTGTCTGCCATGAATGAAATTCAGAAACTGAAAATTCAACTTGAAAGAGTACGTGAATCTGAAGCTGCTCAGATTAACAATGCTGAGTCAGCTAATGATGAGATTCAGGACTTGAGGATGGAGCTTGATGAAACTCTCTCTTTAGTGGAAAAGCTGAAAAATGAGGTAAGGGATTGCAAAGAATCTGAATCCCGGGCTTTGGAAGTAGTTGGCAAAACTCAAATGCAATTGGAAACAGCAAATAAGACTGTGGAAACACTCAAGTTAGAAGGTGTGAAAGCCTCAGAAGCTTACAAATCCTTAGCTTTAGAGTTGGAGCAATCAAGAACTCAAGCAAAATCATTGGAGGAACATGTGAGCAAACTTCAGGCTGATTTGGTTATTGGTGCTAACAAAAATATGTTAGGCCCAATCAATGAAACAGGACTTGCACTTGAAAATGAAGAAAACGAGGAGAAAAACCAGCTCAAAGCTGATCTTGTCTCAGCCAAATCTGAAGCAGCAAAGTTAAAATCTGCGTTGGATGTTGCCGAGGTACGATACCAAGAAGAGTACATCCAGAGCACTTTGCAGATAAGAAGTGCTTATGAACAACTGGAGCATACAAAATCTGAATCTTATAAGAGACAGGCTGAATTATATGAGGAATTAAAGAGAGCTAAAGCTGATATTGAGGAGTTATCGGCACGCCTGATGGACAAGGAAACTCAGTTGCAGGGTGTATCAGAGGAGAATGAGGGGCTGAAGTCAAGGATCAAGCAAAACCAGCCTAGTGAAAGAGAATCTGAACTTGTGGTGGAGCTCAAAAAATTGGATGCTGATATAGCTTTGTTGAAGGCAAGATTATTGGACAGCGAGACAGAACTGCAAAATATAACTAATGAAAACAATACTCTCAAGATGGAAATAAACAAGGGGGAGTTAGAGAAGAATAAAATCACCAATGAGGCTGTTGCTTCAGCAGAAGAAGCAAGGGCTTCGGAGCACGAGGCTTTGATGAAACTTGATTACATAACAGAAGAAGCTGATAAAAGTAGCAGAAGGGTATCAAGGGTAACTGAACAGTTAGATGCTGCACAGGCTGCGAATTCCGAGCTAGAGGCTGAATTAAGGAGATTGAAAGTGCAATCAGACCAGTGGAGAAAAGCAGCTGAAGCTGCTGCTGCTATGCTTTCTACTGGAAACAATGGAAAGTTTGGGGAGAGAATAGGTTCTCTTGACAGTAGCTACCATTCTATTGCTGGCAAGATGAGTTCACCTTATTCGGAAGACACAGATGATGATGACTCACCCAAGAAGAAAAATAAAAACATGTTGAAGAAGATTGGAGTGCTATGGAAGAAGAATCATTAATAGATGGGTCAAGTGGACGTCCTTTAAAAAGATACAAGTTATGTCCTTTTAGTGACTTACACAACGTCTGACCTGTCAGACTTTGTGTAAATCACCTAAAAGGACTTGTGTCCTTTTAAAGGATACTATTTTTTCCCTTAATAGATATATGTATGGCAAGTAGTGTATCAATGTATCATATATGTTGTTTCGTTGTACTTGTTTACTTTTGGTTATTGTCAGGTATCCTTTGGTTTGATCACCATTCAAACAATCCTTGGGGGACATTTGCCTTGAGAAGGTTGTGTCACAAATATTTTGAAGATACATTGAAAATGCTGAGGTTCAATGGTTCCAGTTCCCGAACTTGCTGCTTGCTTCGGCTCTGTAATAGAGCAGTGAGTGTTTATGTACATGTATTCGATCTTGTTATTTGAGACTAATGTCATGTCAGTATTGTTTCCAACTTGCAATGATGCTTTTATCCATCATGATCCATGTATTACAGATGTTATATGCCCTCCTTTATTTTATGTTGTTAATATCTTTTCGTTCTCTATTCCTGTTAAATAAAGGGAAATAAGTAAACCAAAAAATAAAATAAAATAAAGGGAAATAAGGGCATTATACCAAAAAAGGGGAAAAAGGGCATCATTGGTAATTACAGAAATTCTTCATAAATCTGTTATGAGATACAGTTGATTATTTTATAAAACATTAAACTATTATTATTGTTATTATTTTGGTACTAAGGACGAAAGACAGAAACAAAAAGCAGAAAAACACTAAACCCTGATAAACATGGTCCCCCAATGAGTCAGCTAATGCAAATAACTCAAATGGGAGGGGGAAATTATATTATTTTTAATATTTGGGGGCAAATTTAAACTTGGCCAAAAATTATTTCAGGACATTAGTTACTTTGATCAACTTAACACCGTTTAAGTATTTAAAAGTAAATGAACTTCTAACTGTTGTCCATAAATTGCTATGTATCGACACAATAATAATACAAATCTTTCGGCAGACACCATAAAGAAGTATGTCACTCTTTTTTTTGTTTTAAATAGGTGGATCTCATATTTGTTGTATTTATAACATTAGATAAGAAATTTCCTGTAAGATGAGACTTTTTTTTTCTTCTAATAATAATAATAATAATAACTGCATTGTCAAAACAAATTTCATGTCGCCTCAACTATTTTTAAGCAAAAATTATATTTTCAATTATGTTGCTTAGATAAGGCATATATTTACATAATAAGTTGTTACTTAATACTCCACAAGCAAAGTTTGTGTGCTTGGGGAGAAATTTTTTTTCATGGGACTGAGACGAGAGAAAAGGTTGAGGAGAGAGGGGAGAGAAGGAAAAAAAAAGTGATTCAGATATCAATTTTTTAGTGAAAGAACCATAATGATCCTGAACCATATTAAAAAATTCCATACTTCACTATAAAGTTTAGCTTCTACTCGTTGAGTGACTATCCAAATTTATAATTGTTCCATTTTATTTGTTATTGACTAATGGCTAGTGTATTAAGTGGAATTACGCGTCAGTTAATTTGTATTTATTTTATTTCAATTTTGATAAGATTAAGATTAAAAAATTAATTTAAAAATAATTTTGAAGTGAATTATTATAAAGGGAAAACTAATATTATGTAACATGATATAAATATTTTTACCCACTCACCCATTAGTTTCCGCACCAGCATTTTTTAATTTTTATTTTTATTATATGTATGGAACCCACATGCATTTTTGTTTGAGTAGAAAAAATTGATTAGATTATGTTACATGATGATAACTTTACCCTTATTATAATTATATAACGAAGATGTGAGAAGTGTTTAAAAAAAAATTATAGCTAGGTAAACAAAATCTATTTACGATTTTATCCATGTTGTGCTTATTTTCAGATCTTTAAATGAATAATAAGATGTGTTTAAGGCATTGAATGATTGAACCATAAAATTTTATTTATGTCTCATATTTAGGAACGGGGATTTGGGTTGCTTCCAAAAGTTTCTTTTAATGAAAAGTTTTAAATGTATTAAAAAATAAAAGAATATAAATAATTGGTTCCTTTGAAATTTTTGGGTACACAATAAATATTACGGGGCTCAATTTAATCCCTTAAGAAAAAAGTCGACTCGTGGTTCCTTTGAAATTTAAAATAAACCCATGTTAGTCCTTTTGAGGGACTAACGTGGATCTTCTTTGAATTTCAGAGAGATCACGATTTCGACCAACTGAGTCTATTTTGGAATTTAAAGAGATTACCGGTCGATTTTTTTTTAAGGGATTAAATTGGGTCTTGTAATTTTTGTTGAGAATTCAAAAGATACTTTACTCTCTCTTTTTTTCAAAAATTTGTGTCTATACTTGCACACGTTGACGTAAGTGCATGTCCGCCTCTGGCTTAAGGTTTTGTTGTTCTAGATTTTCTTTAAATTATTAATATAATAATAAATAATGATATTTTTAAAAAAAAAATGAAATAACAAAGCTGGAAATTTCGTTTGTAATAAAAGAAGAAGAAGCTAAAGACAAGAGAAATCCGATAATTATATACAATATTAAAAAAAAACCTAACTTTAAAAAAAGAGGGGCCTAGTGATGTAGGTGTTTCTTGAAGTAATTGGGCCAAGCCCATCAGAACACAAGGCCGAACACACCCAGTACTGTGTCCATTATATAAAGCCTGAAATTTCGTTTTAACAATTAGGGTTTCGCTCGCAGTTGCTGCTCAACCTCCATAGCCTCCGAGCTCTGCACAGAAGAACGAAGCCATGGGGTAACGAAGCAATGCACTATATTCTCAACATACTTTATTGCATGTTTTTGGCCATTTTCTTTCTGCTCGCTCTCAAAATTGAACATTAAAGGATGAACTTGGCGAATCCCGTAACATGTTGTGTGTGGTTCAGTTCGTAAATTTATGGTTGCTTCGTGTGGATCCGTGTCCAATCAAATCTTCTAATGGCTTCTTTCCTGTGGAAAGTTTGTATTTTTCTAGCATGGGACTTTTATTTTTCATGTTCACCAGTGTAGGATACAAATTGCGTTTTTTCCCCCTTTACTCTCCCTTCGTTTTGAGTAGGGATTGTGCTATGTTAATCGCTACCATGATAAAAAAAATTCAATGAACGTTGAAGAAGCATATTTAGTTATCTGCTCTTTTAGACACGATATCCTTTGGCATTAAGGGAACTAGGAAATGGTTGATCTACCACATAAGAACATTAGATGTATATAATTAGATCTTATCACTTGTCTACAGGAAGACACGTGGAATGGGAGCTGCTCGCAAGCTGAAGTCCCACCGCAGGAGACAAAGGTGGGCAGACAAGGCATACAAGAAATCCAATCTTGGCAATGAATGGAAGAAACCTTTTGCTGGCTCATCCCATGCAAAAGGAATTGTCCTTGAAAAGATGTAAGATTAGTTTAAATTGATCTTGATATGCTTATCTTTTTTTGGTGGAATATGTTTTCAATTTGTACAGTTGGTGTTAAGAAATTAATATGTTGTTCTATGTGCAGAGGTATTGAGGCTAAGCAGCCCAACTCTGCCATTCGTAAGTGTGCTAGGGTTCAGCTCATCAAGAATGGGAAGAAGATTGCTGCATTTGTCCCAAATGATGGTTGCTTAAACTACATAGAAGAGAATGTGAGTATTCTTTTGCATAATTTTTGCTAGTTTTGTTATCATCTTTTATACTGTAACATCTGCAATTGTCTTGAGTTTTTCATATCTCAGTAGTAATCTTTTGTTTTTTCATGGTTGTAGGACGAAGTCTTGATAGCTGGATTTGGACGAAAGGGTCATGCCGTGGGTGATATTCCTGGTGTTCGATTCAAGGTTGTGAAGGTATCTGGTGTCTCTCTTCTGGCTCTTTTCAAGGAGAAGAAGGAGAAGCCAAGGTCTTGAATTTGTGGAATGCCTCTTCTATTCGTTTTCTTTAGTTTCTCTGAAGTATGATGAATTTTGTTTCAAGGTGAATGGGTTTTATCGACAATTTTGTATCTTTTCTAGTTATTTTACTGAAGTTTATCAGTTTACATTTTTAGTAACTTGTCATAGTCTCCTTGTGCTTTTTCCCCATTATCTGGCTGTCGTGCTGTTGCTTTTGGCCATTGCATGAAATCCAGTCAGTTTCCCCGCATAAACTGGCCATTCAACATTCTTCGTTAGGCTTACTACGATTCTATTTAGCAATTTCTAATGTTAATGAATTGATCAACATGAGATCAGCTTTAATCTAAAACTAGTTTGATATCTGATCCTATTTTCACCGGTGCTACGCTCTAGCTGTTTCTAAACCCTAAAAATAATTAGATTTATCTAATTGCAATTTCAAACTTTATTTTTGGATAAAAAAGTTTTGGAAAGTGGAGGTTGTCTATTAAAATCTTAGAAAATGGAGTTGCATGATTTTCATCAATGTAAGGCATTTGATCCAGCATTAAGTTGCATGTTTTTCATCTTTCATAACACCCCCAACTATGCTAGTAACATCCTGACCCAAAAAAGCTCCTTGCATGGAATCATATTTAACATCGCACTGAACAATAAATAAAATTAGTAATTATAACTATAATTAACATACCAGCGCTTATTAAAAAAGCTTTATTCCAATCTAAACACTTGTTCAAATCGAACTTGCTTTTCTTTGGCTTTTCAATTTCATTTGGCTGAGGTTTTGCTCCCACTCTTGGGAGTTTGCTAACAGGATGAGTTCTCTCGAATTCGGATAGTTTTACGAGAACACGTTTAATGAAGTTAGATAAAACATTAGTGGCAACAGGGATGGCAAAAATTGTCGGGCTGGTAACCCGCATAAAATGAATTGCGTTGGATTAGCAAAAATGAGTTGACAATGACAACTCGAGCTAGCCTGATTCGAGCCCGTTCAAAAAAAAATTGAGTCAACCCGTGAGTTAAATGGGTCAGTTCGCGGGTTATTCTTTTCTTTATTTATTGAAAAAATACAAAAGAAAATAAGATGCTCTTCTTCATTAGCATCTAATGCTCATGAAATTTGATTTGGTTTAGTATTATGTTTTGTTGGACTTGAAACTTGAGTATGCATAGGTGTTATATTTAGCGTATTTAATGGCTAGTAAATAGTGATTATATTAAGTGTTGAGTGTGACAAAGGTTATATTTTTTTGAGCCAACCCTAACTCAACTCGTGTCGGGTTGGGTTGAGTTTTTTGGCTCATTTTTTTTTTTCAAATCAACCACAACCCGGCTCATTTTTTTCGAGTTGTAAACGGGTTGGGCAGGGTCGAGCCGGATTGGTTCGTTTTGCCATCCCTAAGTGGCAGTGTGTAACAAATCCTTTCTTTCATGATGAATTGTTGGCACCCGTTCAAATTTTTTTCTCTGTGGACTGAGGAGAAAGAGCTCCGCGACAAGAGGATTGTAACATGAGAGAAGCAAGGAGGTCAACCTCTTTCAAATATACAACATGGGTTCTGGCAATGCAATGTGGTTGGACTCTCATGTCGATTCGAATGAATCATCCTTTGCACAGAGGTAAATTTGTGCTCGCTAGGTAAGAGGATAGCAAGTTACAAATTATGTATTGGTAGGACATGTATTTTTATTACTATTCATTATTTTTATTACTATTCAATTGAAGTAGTTAACACGCGGGGGAGGGGGGTTACCATTCTTATCCTTTTGTGGTGACGAATCTTGTATGTGTTCCAAAGTAAAGGAACTTGTCCAGTTTTCGCGGTCTCGAGTTGGGGGGTGTAAACACATAAGAACTCTTGCATGGAAATAGAAAAATAGATGTAACTCCAATTACTTCGAAAATGGGAAGATCTTTAGCGCAAGAAAGCAAGAAGAAGGGTTGATTCGTATCATCTTGACTTGGTTCTGATTTCTCTGTTTTTTAAGAATACCAAGTCGGGTTCTTCTCCTACCTGTATCTAGAGATGGCAAAACTGGCTAAGCCCACCGGGCCCGCCCGCCCACCCGCCAAACGGGGCGGGCTGAGTTTTCCAAACCTGCTGCTCGCCCGGGCTGGATTTTTATTTTTTTTCTTTTTCTTTTTTCTTTTTTTAGTGTAAAATCTCACGGGTTTGGCGGGTAGCCCGCCCCGCCCGCCCAAACGGGGCGGGCGGGTTGAGTTTTCTTGCTCACTTTCACATGCGGGGCGGGCAACCCGCTTTGCTATTCCTACCTGTATCGAATAGAACATGCTGAGCCAAATCTATAGAAAACCTGCTTTGTTTAGATCAGGAAAATCGTACAGTTTTTTGAAATCATGTGCTATTGCTCGAATCTGTAGTCAATCATATTTTCGATAGGAGAAGTTGACAATTGAATCCTGTTTTAACCATTATTTTCATATCGGTAATAGTGTGAAAAGAAGGTCCGACTCCAAGTTGTTTAAGAAGAATGGCGTTGAATTTCTCAGCCCTTTACGTTAAGATTAGTCAGTTCTATTTCTGGATGGAGGCAAGGGAAGAGATATAACTTAGCGGTAGAGTGTCACCTTGACATGGTGGAAGTTATCAGTTCAATCCTGATTATCCCTAAACCGAATGTGCATTTTTCTATTTGATGTTGTGTGGTCGAATGATAATTGAGAATGCATAAGCGACTTGTGGGATTGACGGGAGCCGGCCCGGTGGGGGCCTATAATTCTTGGAGCAAACTCCAGGAAAATATGAAGAGCATGGATACAAGTTATTCCTTGGAATGAAAGAGAATTCCGAATCAGCTTATCCCTCATTGTCTCACTGCCGACCTTGACTCTTGTTGTTTGGAGGTCATATCTAGTATTTAGAGTTTGCCTCAATTTGGTACCAACCTCGCGGTCTGCACCGAAACAGTGCTTTTCCGCTAGATGTCCAGTCTACTGCTAATTAACAAGCACCGATATGCTAACTTTTGCAAAATTTGGGTGTCAGACACCGACACGCTCTAACACGTTCCGACACACGGTCAACTCTCTGACACGTTTTTTCGACACACAGTCAACTTTTTCCGACACGTGGTCAACGGTCCGACACGCATCCGACACGTTTTTTTTAGGTCTTAATTTTAATTTATTAACTAAACATAAAAAATAATTTATAAATCAATTTTCTTCTGTTATGAAATTTGACATGAAAAAGTAACAAGGTACGAAAAATAATTTTTGTTTCTATTTATGCTATAAAATTTGAGTATTTGATTGGTTATATAACTTATTATGGGCTGTTATATGTATTCAATATAAATTAAATTATATATATTAAAAGTATTATTTAATATTAAAATATGTCCCAACGTGTCGAAATATGACATTTTTTAGAATTAACGTGTCGACGTATCGTGTCGTGTCCCGTGTCAATGTCCGTGCATCATAGACTGCTAAACCTTAACATATTTCGGGGAGAACCGGCTAGCTCTGAGTTCAAGTGGCATTTCACCTCTAACCATAACTTATCCGTTGATTCTTCAACATTAGTCGGTTCATAACTCCACTTAGTTTCACCCAAGCTTCATCTTGGTCATGGATAAATCACCCAAGTTCAGGTTCATAAGCAGTGACAATTGCACTATGAAGGCTCGTTTTCGCTACAGCTCCAGTAGTTTCACTTAACTAAGCCACTGCCTATGAGGCGCCAGCTCATTCTTCAAGGGCTCCTCCCACTGCTTGGGAGCTTACGATCTCATGTTCTATTTCACTCCCCAGTGGGGTTTCTTTTCACCCTTCCCTCACGGTATTGCTTCATTATCGGTCACTCAAGAGTATTTAGCCTTGCAAGGTGGTCCTTGCTGATTCACACAAGATTCCACGTGTCACGTGCTACTCGGGTCATAGCATAAGCTAGTGATGCTTTCGGCTAATGGACTTTCGCCATCTAGGGTGAAACATTCCACCACTTCACCTAGCAACAAGACGCTTGTATAGCTCTCCAACAACCCCATTTACACGGTTTAGGCTACTCCCATTTCGCTCGCCGCTACTACGGGAATCACTTTTTCTTTCTCTTCCTCTGGCTACTAACATGTTTTGTTCGCCAGGTTGTCTCTTGTCTGCCCGTGGATTCAGTAGCAGTTTGAAAGGTTGACCTATTCGAGAATCCTTGGATCTATGCTTATTTTCAACTCCCCGTAGCATTTCGTCGCTTGCTACGCCCCTCCTCACTCTGGGTTCCTAGGTATCCACCATAAACCTTTCCTCATTTAAACCTCACCCTTCACTGTAAGGCTATGTACCATCCTAAGGTGCTGCTAGATGAAAGGATCTTATCAATATTCATGAATGAGAAATCATAGTATAGATCAAACTGCCAAATCGAAAAAATAAGATGCTATCATATAGCTTTGTATCGGCTAAGTTCACAAGTTGGAGACAAGCGAACTCGGACCGCTAACATTCGCCAAAGGGTAAATCAACGCCTACCAGGCCCTGACTAATTCTATCATAGAGGCCGACGATAGACAATAACTCCCCTTAAACATAGCTTACAACTTTCATTGTACTATTCTTGTAACACCCCGTTCTAGAACCGGTTTGTTAACATCGCATTATGATATTAAGCGCAGTTACAATCACATGGGTTCAATTAAAATCCGGATAAATTTTTCATTTTAAAACATACCGAACTTATAATACCCAATATCGTGATCATAACCATATTACCTTGCGGAAACAGATAAATTAAGCTTAACATCATGTTCATTTTCCATTTTTGAACCATTAATTTACTTCTTATTTAATTCACAACTTCTACTATATTGTAGGTTTCTTCATTAGCTACCTGTGGCTTCAAACCGTGCTCAAATCGGAGCACTGTAGCCCAAGTTAGGACAATTTGAAGCAACACAAGAGAGTGTTGGTCACAGGCCCCGCGCGCTTCAGCGCGCTACCGGGCGCTCAAGCGCGCGCAATCGGGCGCTAAAGCCTCCATCTGGGCGCTTAAGCGCACGGAGGCAGTAAGCATCAGACATTCCAGTGTGGATGGGCGCTTAAGCGCGCAACAGGGCGCTCAGGCGCGCTATCCTGGGCGCTCAAGCTCCCACTGGGACGTTTTAGCGCGCAGAGACAGAAGCATCTCCTCCTTCAGTGGCTAAGGGCGCTTAAGCGCGGACCAGGGCGCTCAAGCGCGCAACCCTGGGCGCTAAAACACGAGGGGACAGTAAGCATCCCAACTTTCTGCAGCAAAGGGCGCTTAAGCGCAAGCCAGGGCGCTCCAGCGCGCAATCCTGGGCGCTTAAGCCCCCACTTGGGCGCTCCAGCGCGAGGAGGCAGAATGCATTGGCACTCGCGGGGGCAGCAGGGCGCTTGGGCGCGCTCCTGGGCGCGTAAGCGCGCTGCCAGGGAATTCCAATTCCCACAGTTTTCAAGTCCAAGCCTAGGGGAAGATGCATCCCCATTACAAACCCCAATTGTCCATGCCCCAAAACTAAATCCTAGCACTCATCCAACCTCTCCTCATGAGATTTAGCTAGAATTTGGGCAGCATACCCTTTGTTTTCTCATCGTTTTCCAATTTAAACAAAAGGTACCTAATTGATTCTCAGCTCAACCAATTCAATCACTCAATACATAACAAGCATGCATATATTGAATTTCAAGTAGGCATCATTTACATTACATATCCTTTACAAATCATGGAACTTAGCTTACAAAACACTATGATCATTCCCTTGGCTCCCATCAACAAAAGGTGTAACCAAAGGCATGAGCATAGGCTAAGTTCATCCAATGAATCAAGATATACAAATGACCATGGGCTTTCAAAATAAAATCCTATACATGTCAACTACAAAAGGCATGCATAAACTCAAAAGAAATGCCACATTTCATGCATAATCCAGATATGGCCACTTGCCACCAGAGGCTCCTGCAGCATCCTTACCTGAAAGGGGGTCCCCACAACACGGGGTGAGATATACGAATATATCCAGTAAACCAGGGGTCCTTGGAGCATCTCTCCACCCCACAGTTCCATATCAGTGTAATAGCAATAACAATAATAATGCAGTAAATACATATCTATGCAAAGTGCAATACATCTCCAGGAGAAATCCCTCGAGCTCTCAAGCTGTCCTAAGGAAACTCAGATGCAAATAGTCCTACTGGCCAGCTAACTACCAAGTATGATTTACGCATCGTCATGCAACATACCAACATAGGGAAACACCATCCTATGCCACACCAAGTGCATACACATACGTATAACAAAGCATTACACTATTTTATTGCATTTATATACACAATCACAACCTCCACCCTTTCAGGGCTTGGTAGAACAGTCAAGGGAATTACACCCAAGGTCCGAAGGCTTACCTCAATGCTTCAGTCGACCTTTGTTCCTCACCAATGTCAACAATACTCTACTCCAAAACCAACACCTACACATGGTGTAATGCAATCAACACATTGCATCCAAGAGTATTCCACAATCAACCATCAATTACTCAATTCAAAACACAACACAAGTATGAGCTTACCAATTCCAAGGAGCTACTCAAGCTCCATAGCTTGCTCAAGAGGTTGATCACTCACGGTCGGTCCAAATGTCTCAATCCTAGACATCATTAGGACACAATCATCAATTAACCAAGCCATACCATTTATCAACAATGCAAGAAATCCAATATCAAGCATCATATTCTTGCCATTTTACAAGTATACTCATTTAGCTATCTAAGCTCATTTTCACCGATTAAATGACATTCCTAGCATTTTCCCTAACATGCTCTAAGCTCCATTCTTCCTAGAACATAGCTAATTCAACTACATTTCATCAAAATCCCAATTTACTATTCATAAACCCTAACTCATGCAATTTCAAGGAATCATGAGGTTCAAGGGTTAGAATCTTACCACCAATGGTCACACAACCAAGGATTGATGGCTCCTCAAGCTTCAATGGAGGTAGAAACTCTCAAAACCCCAATTTTCACCAAAGGGCCGAATTTTTGAGAGCCAATATCTCCCCACACAAAGCTCCCCACTTAAAACTAAGCTTGGATTATGAAAGAGGGCGAGATTCTAAGCGATTTAGGCTTTTGAATCATCCAAAACGGTCAAGGTTTGATCTCTCTCTCTTCCTCCATTCCTTCTCCCTCCTTTCTCCTTCTTCTTCTCCTTCTCTCTGTTTTCTGGCGACGAGAATGGGGGGGGGGGGGGGAATGGGTTCTTTTGGTAGCTTAAGTCACTTAACATAGGTTAGGTGGCTTTAAGCGGGTATTGGTTCGTCTATCTATTCAACTCCAATAATTACCAAACTTTACCCAAAAGTCTGGAATATTATTCTAGGAATATTACTATTTTTGTTTTTATATTTTGGGCACTTTCACCAGTACCCATTTATACCCCTTAATTTTCACTGAGTACACTTTTTAACTCCAAAGTGACTCAGATTCATTTAATTAAGCATTATACTTAATTTCACTCGGTAAGACAAGCTTAATTAATTAATTACACTTGATTTACTAATTAATTAAGTTGAGCTATTATAATTCTCTTCAAAGAGAAACTCTTCTCAACATCTCAAAAGATGCTAAGTTGGAATCTCATTTTAACTCAGGATTCTTGTGATTATGAAGGATCCAGTTACAGGAGAACCGGGAATGGGGAGCTTCACCCCCCTTCCGCCCAATTCTTTGGTTTGTGATTGCCCTTCTCCAACTCTTACTGTCCAATCTAAGAGTGAATAGTAGATGCATTCTGCTTTTTTGAACAGGATTCTATGGTCAGTCCACGACCCCGGATGCCGAACAACTATAATTCTTCTTTGAATAATTAAATTATGGGGTTAAATTGTTGTATTTGTATAAAATCTTGTTAAAAAAAAAAAAAAAAAAACAAGTGAGACAGACGCTAAAATTCTGTAACGGTAGCTTCATGGGCTCGAAAGACGTTTGCGTCCGTAAACCCGCCCCCTCCATTTCTTCTGCTTGTATGTTAGCGGAGTCCAGCATTACTAATTGCTTGAGTTTTAAGCTTAGAAAACACTTCCTCAGGCATGCAAGGACAGGATAGGCCAAACTCAACACGTCTTGAGACCTCATATAAAGCAGAATCAACAGCATGCTGGAATTCTTCCAAATCACTCTGCTTCTCCATTTGTGAGAAATACGGCTGAAATGGCTTTATCGTTGACACATCATTCCTAGAGAATATCTGATCCCCAAAATATGCAATTAGGTAACAGTCTTCCTTAAGATTCCTCTTTGCCATGTCTGATGCAGCTGAGGGATCAAAGATCTGACCAGGCCACCAAGGATGGCCCCTCACCTTTCCCCAAACTAAATCAGACACACAGAAACTCAGTTCTGAAAACACCAATTCCCTGTACATGCCAACCTCCTGCATGTTTCTATAAGAATTAAGATCTACAACAAGATTAATACCATGACACTCATTTTGAATATTCTCAAAAATCCCTGCTTCAGCCGTATTGACGTCTATGGTATGATTCTGCATCACCTCTGCGTGTGCATCTACCTGAAAGGCTGGCTGTTTAAACTCATACGGAGTTTCTAGCTCAAGGTGATTTCTTGAAAACGAGTCGTTCAGATGCAAAGATTATTTGGCATTGAGATCCATGACTTCCATATATGGAATGCCATCCTGTAATTGGTAGCATGCAATTTGCGGCGCTAGAGTCTTCGAGGCCATCTTTAGTAACCAAACCATCCGCAGCTTTCATCTTGCAGTCATCCTCCACGACTGCACTTAAATTCACCAAAGTAGCATTTTTAACTTCCTGCTTGCACACATTCAGAACAGTATCAACTCCTTGAGTCTCATTATTTGATGCAACCTAAGTGCTCAGCGAAGCGGCAGTTTCAGTAACTTTCATGGTTTCTCACACTCCAGTTCAATCTGAATACCATCATTAAAATCAAAAACCAAAGCTTTATCAAGTTCTGCACCTCCATAAACAAACGGGGCTCCGGAGGAACCTTCAATAGTATTATTATCACGTATTAACGTGCATATTAGGCCCCTGTTCAACCTTAATACAGATACGGATAGAGTATGCAAAGTATCTCACACCACTGCGGCAACTTTTAAAGCATTAGGCTTCCTTGTTCTTGTTCTTAGTTACCAACACTTTGATACTCACGAACCTAGTCGGAAAATAAACTCAGAATTATAACCGAGTCTCCCAGCGATAGGGAAAGGATGAGATCACGGATTCATAGCATATAAACTATGTGATAAAATAAAATTATACTTTGCAAGAATAATAGTTTACGTTTGTGTTAATCAACAGACAGCAGAATTTAATCACTAATCAAGATATGGTTTGATGTATTCACTTCTCTTTATCTATGACTCTTGTTTTGTGTCCTTATACACCAAGAATGATCCAGTGCCAGTGTAACTAGATGCTAATGCCTTTCCAGCTGAGGTTGGCTGAGAGAATGCTAGCTGGGTAGGTTCAAGCACAAAACCCATGCAGAAACTTTTCCTGCAAAGAATTGAATACAGACAAAAGAAAACAAATCAATAAGGTGACAATTGATCGAAGAGTAATTAGCCAAGTAGCACTAATACAATGCAGCTAGTGTTAAAAGCTTTAAATATATGATATTACTTAATGTCATCTTCCGGTTGAATCTACGCATAATTAAATACGCCAGGGGATTGTGGTTGCATACAATTTTTGAAGTTTCCGTAATTATGATGAATTGGGGCAAAAAACTTCAGAAATTCACCAGCCTTAGACTTATGAAACAGTAATACCAACTATTGCCATGGATTGGGTCACATGAATTTTAGTTAACCATGAGAATTACTCTATATAAAAACCAAAGCAAAAATTTACTTCACCTCACGGCATCTAGTAATTGGCTAGCAATGCGTTTTCTTCTGTTGGAGGGAGTGACCCAAATTGCTCTAATCCCACAAATAGCAGGGACTGCATTGCTTTCACAGAAGATTGCTCCACCATGTGATCCGTCCATCACCTCAGAATCACTCACAGAAACAGCTCTTTTTTCAACTTCCCTTTGGAAAACAATATTCCCAAACTGGAGAGAGGTTGAATATGACTTCGTTTCCTTTTTCCTTGCACTATCAGAATGTCCAGCAATTGAGCAAGACACAACTTTGAATGCTTCTTCGATTGGTTCTGCAATCAGGCACCCAATAATCCTCTGGACAGAAACGAACATATAGACCTGTATATATACTACAATAATGCCAATAAGCACTTATTTCGTATTCAAAACATCAAATAATCAAAATCTTACCAAGAAACCTTAAAAAGTAAAATAATTCAGTAAAAAATAATCAAAACCACCAAACACGATATATATATATATATATATATATATATGCAGCTGCTGTACGTGCAGCAATCAAATACTTGTCATATATATATATATATATTTGAAAGTATTAAATGCAAGGATGAAAGCATTTAAATGTGGGGAATCATAATCATACAAAGGATGAAAGCTTTTAAATGTGAAGAATCATAATCATACACCTGTGGTCACTGTACGTAAAGCGACTGCAGAAATGATTTTACCTCTCTCTATATATATGTATATATAGGGGAAAGTTATATTTACAAATTTTTTGTTTACAAACTATACTAAGTATGACCGGTCATAATTAGTGTAATTTGTAAAAAAAAGTTTGTAAACGGATCTTTCCCCACGTGTGTGTGTATATATATATATATATATATATATATATATATATATATAAAATCTGTGTTGCAAATAAGCTTCTTGATGAAAAGGGAAACACTGTATACCACCTTACAGAGTTCATGAAGTATCCATCCACTTCCGAGGTCGATTTCCATCATCTTCACAACCTCTTCAACCTGCTAGTATAACAACTCGTCAATTAAATGCTGCTGCAAAACCCACCCACCAAAGTAGTAGTAAATTGGGAGAAGCTAAAACCACCTTGTTTCTGTGAGCAGAAGGATCAGTCTCTAAGACCAAAACGATTCGACCCTGTTTGACGCTTGGGTTAGGGATAGGGATAACCCTTTCGCTGGTCCAACCCTGCATAAAAGAAATAGGAATAGGAATCAGATAAAATCACGCATTGCGGGTATGGATGGAACAGAGACTGGATGCATGAAATCAATCAGAGAAATTAATTACTCGGAATTGAATCCCCTGCGTGTAACGTTTGTGAAATTCCTTGTGGGATTTCTCGTCTTCCTCATCGCCAGGAGTAAACTTGACTCCGCAAATAGAACAATCGCGTAACAGAAAATCGGATTGACCGAAATCCAGATGGAACTGGGCATAGCTCCTCTTCTTGTTCTTAACGACCGTTCTTCCCGTTTCCGGTTGCGAACTCGAACAAACAACGTTAGGGTTGTTCGAACGGGTTCGTCGGTGGTAAGTGTTGAAGATGTGGTGGTGTTTGTTCTCCCAGATTTTCAATTCGTCATTGTCGTCATCGTGGGTGAGGGTTGTGGGAGCGGAGGAAGCAGAGGGATTTTTGAAGAAATCGCTGATCTTGGATTGCATCTGCATAGATTGGATGCTCCTTCCTTCTCCCGCTGATGTTGGTAATTTTATGAATCTCTTTTTTCATTTGCCGCCAAAACCAGCTTCAAACTTCAATTTCGGGTTAGATTTTATTAACCCATACTAACTCGTTAATATTATTTTGGAGAAAGATTATACTTACTACCTATTTTTTTACTACTTGTTACTATTAAATCTTAATTGTTGATTTCCGTTAATCTAACGGTTATGATTTATTACAAATTAATAATCAATTAATAAGTATGATCTCATAAATTATAACCGTTAGATTGACGTAAATCAACGGTTAAGATTTAGTAGTAATAAGTAATAAGAAAAATAGGTAGTAAGTATAACCTCTCCCATTATTTTATATTAAAAAAGGATGGAGACGGATATACTAACCACTAAAAAATTTATCACTCTTACAATTAATTACAGTTAATTTCTACCAACCTAACGATTATAATTTATTGAGTATTAATAATTAATTAATAAGTGTGACCAAACAAATGTTATTAATTCTCAATAAATTATAACCGTTAAATTGACGGAATTTAATAGTGAATAAATTAGTTGTAAAAGTTATAAACTTTTCTGGTAGTAATCGTATCTGTTTCCAAAAAAGATAGGTTATTTTATCTTCTTTTTTTTTGCCTATTTTTGTCTATCACTCTCTAACAGTATTAGATCAAAATCTCAATAGGAGAGAGAAATGATAATGTTAGTTAAGATTCTAATATAATTATGTTGAAAAGTGAAGGGAAAAAATAGACAGAAAAAAAGTAAGTAGGATAACATATCCCATTAAAAAATAAAACAATTTACAAAAAAAAAAAAAAAAAAATAAAAAACAATGTAGAAATCATATATAAAATAAAAACCTAAAAATCGCTTGTTTCTTCCATAATTTTCCCAATGAAAAACCAAAGATTTTGATACGAGCCCACAAATTGAAGAACCAATGATCCATGATGCAGTGGACCAACTAGACCAACAAGTCACACCCAAGACTAGATGGGCCAAGCATAACAAAGGGCAACCCAAATGGATGAGTGATTACCATTTGGGTTAGGTTGTAGGTGCTGAGTAGGATCAGTTGGTTGCACATTTTTAGGAAGTAATTGGCATGAGAGGTATTGTGCCTTGCCTTGTTATTTTGTTTTACTGTATTCTGTTTGTTGTGTAGTGCGACGAGCACCTTGTTCGTTTTGTTGTGTTGGTGAGATGCCCACCTTGTTGTATTTTAGTACTTTGGCTTCTCGTTTGGAAATTAAGCAATCAACATTATTCTTCTCTATTCTTTGTGTTATCATTTTAAAGAGGTTTTCTCACCCTCAAAGTGAGGTCTTATTATCTGGTGCTTTCATTGGGAGCATTATTCCATGAAAATATGGTGATCACCCTCTCTCGTTTGCTGGAGGCTCACCTCACACTACAAACAGACATACAAAACATGACACACCGAATGGCAGCGTTAGAAAATAGACCCCTCGCCTTCGGTACTCCACACCAAAACTCGGTATATGGACTTCGCACCACCATGAAGCTAGATGTACCTTGTTTTGATGGATCAGACCCTCTGGGGTGGTCTTTCAAAATCTCTCAGTTTTTGGAGTTCCACAGAACACCTGAAGACCAGTGATTGTGTATCGCATCCTTCTATATAGAGGGAGAAGTCCTCGGGTGGTTCCAATGGATACATTCCAATGGTCAACTCAATACTTTGGTGCAATTCCTTTAGGCCTTAGATCTTCAATTTGCTCCCTCCTAGTATGAGGACCCCAGAGGCGCTTTGTTTAAGCTCTACCAGACCACTTCGGTTCGTGACTACCAAACTCAGTTTGAAATGCTAGCTAACCAAATCGTGGGGTCCCACCCCCTTTCTTGTTGAGCTATTTTGTTTCATGTTTAAGGGCAGATATTCGACACGAGGTGCAGGCTCTACAACCAAATTCTCTCATGCAGGTCATTGGGCTTGCACGTCTTCAGGAGGAGAAGGTAATGACGCAAGAAAAATTAGTCAACCGGGCCATACCAGTGGCCCCCCTTAAAATCAACACTTCTGACGTTCGTCACAAACACCAAAGCACATATGGGTGCAAGGGGACGAACCGTGGTGAAGCAATTGTCCCCAGAAGAAGCATCAGCAAGACGCGAGAAAGGCATGTGTTATAACTGCGACGAGAAGTTTCGACCAGGGCACAAGTCAAATGACTGTTCATGATGTTGATTGCTGATCCAGATTTTGAAGAGGCTTGCCCACAACCTGAATTGAATCTGCCCATGGAATCAATCTGCTCCACAAATGATGACACAGATGATCAAGAAGACAACCCAGCCCGGATCAGCTACAACGCCTTAGTGGGCCAGAGTGCACCTCGGACATTACGGGTCAAGGGGCGTAAAAAAATGTGAACTCTGAAGGACCTCCTAAATTCAAGTAGATTATGCCTAAGTGGTTTTAATGATGTCAAAGCATGAAGAACTCATTTTGAAGATTCTAAAGTTTCAGATTAGATAATTTTTAGATTTCTTGTAACACATTAGATATATCACTAAACATGATTCCAAGCTCCATTGCATATCATTGCATAACATGTATTTAGCCATGTTGAGTGACCTAATAAAAAATAAAAAATTAAATAAACAGGTCTTTAAAAATAAAATCCAAATCAATTAAAAATCTGTTTTAATAAAAAAAGAAAAAGAAAATTAAAAATTTGTTTTAATAAAAACCAAAAAGTAAAAATAATATATATATATATATAAAGAAACGAAACAAAAATTTACGTCTACAGCGTTCTTTTCAAAATTTGTTACATTGATTGATTGTATATATATATATATATATATATATATATATATATATATATATATATATATATATATATATATATGGCTTTAATAGCTCTCCGATATCTGCAGATCAGAAAATTTGCAGCAACACTTACTTCCACCAGGATACGGTTCCGGATCTTGGATTTTTTATTTTTTTTTTAATTTAAGGATCCGGCTCCGTATCTTATGTAAATATATTTGCTGCAAGTTTTTCTATCAGCTGTGACAGCAGAGATAAGGAACCTTATATATATATATATATATATATATATATATATATAAACTTTTGGTTTTAATATATAAAATATTATTTTACCAAATTGACTTTTCCACCGTATAGTTTAGATTTCTTTAAAAGCTATACTATATTGTTATCAAAAAAAAAAAGCTATACTATATAATAATAATAAAAATTTAACACTCTAACTCATTTAGCGTGTAGATGTAGTCTTAGTAGGACTAGTCAGTCTGTTGTTTTCTATTAGTATAAAAAGTGGTAAAAATCGAGAAAAGCTTTTTACAAGAAATTGAAAAACAAATCCAGTTCGTCTTTTTGAGATCCCCTTCGTTCGTGTTCGTTTACACTAATATCATTCTAGAGAAATCCATCTTCTTCGATTTGCAAAAATATACAACAACTATTATAAGCGAAAATTTTCATTGAGATCAAGTCTTGTAAGCTACCTTGTGTGAGAGTGATCTGTGGTGTTCCTCTAATCTTCTTCCCCAAAATTCCCAAATTTCCATCAATAATTTTGTTCTTGAACCCTATACAAAGTGCACCATTGTTGAGGAGTCTCTTCATCGATTTTCGAGTCAAGATTGGGTGATTTGGAGTGTTGTTCATGATTCTTGGAACCAAGGTTGAAGAACACTAACCACATTTTCTGTTTTACTTTGCTGAAAATTTGAGATCTGTTGAGGTAATATCTTAAACCTTGTTTTGAGCATCCTTTGATATATTCTTGAGACTTGATATTGTTGAATTAATTTTCTGTTATTTTTTTATATTGTGAGTATTCAAATTTCTTTGTTTTGATATTAAGTGAATATAGTAGAAATCTTGATGCTCTTTGTGTAAGATTTGTGTTTCTAATTTTTTGTGAAAGATTGATTAAAAAAATAAATATTAAATCTGAATTTCTTTTTCTTGTTATACATTGTGTTAATTCAGATTTTTTGTTTGGGATTTACTGTTTAGAAACCTAATCTTGAATTGTTCTAGAAATTTTATTGTTGGAATATTAAATCTAAATTTTCTGTTTTAATTGAGGTATATTGTGTTTAAAATTCAGATTTATTGTAGATAATTACTAAAAGATTTATCTAGAACTAATTCTGAATTTTTTGTGAAATTTTGAGAGAAATTACAATTTTGATTTTTCTGGATATAGTGTGATAATTTCTGTTTAAATCAGAATTTTTAGTGTCCATCATTTAGATACTTGATATAAATAAATACAAGTTCCTTATTGTTGAAAATTTATAGTTTGTGATACATATACTTGTGTTCTAAATTTTTTGCATACATCATATCATTTTGGAGCTTGTTGTTGTACCTTATTTGATATATCAAGTGTGATAGGACTTTGTAATAGGTTGATAAATTTTCTATTATAAATCTGAGATATTGTATTGGTTGTTAAAGTGGAGTTGTTGTGTGTTGTAAATCTGTCCTAGGTGTGTGGGTGCAATCGTGTGGGTTGAAAACCTTGTGCTTGGCTTGGGAGTGTGTCTCAAGGCCTGGAGCCTCAAGATTCCACTAGGGAGAATGGAGGTCTTGTGTGAGAGGAGTTGATGAACTCCGTAGGTTCGGCTTGAGAGTATTCTCAGAGCTTGGAGCAGTGTAGGCACTAGGAAGGTTTTTGATATTTTGTTTGATTACTTGTGTGACGCGTGTTTGTAAAACAGGTACACTTGTGATAAATAATATATCTGCAGCGACTTCAGTCTAGACGTAGCACCCTACTTAGGCTTAGTGGGTGTGAACCAGGATATATCGTGTGTCTCTTGTCTCTCTGATTTAATTTCTAAATATTCCATTTAGAGACTTAAAGTAACAATGATTTTTGGTTTAAAAGTGTTGTAGCAGAATTAATATTTTTCTGTTTTGTTTAAGAAAATTACATTGCTGCATTTATACTCTATAAATTGCTAAG